ATGTCTCTGGCTTACTTTCTCTCCCCCTCTCTCTGCTCTGGTCTCTCTCTCCCTTTTCTTTCTTTCTCTTTTTCAGTATCTACAGGCATTGAGACAGAGTCTCATGAAGCCCAAGCTGGCTTTGAATTCCTGATTCTCCTGCCTCTACCTCCCAAGTGCTGGGATATAGGCTTGTGCCGTCCCACCTGGACTGCTCTCCTCCCCCTCCTGCTCCTCCCTTTCCCCTCCCCCTCTCTCCCCTCTTCTTTCCCTCTCCCTCCTTCTGTTACTTTTTCTCCACATTCCTCTCAAAAAACAACTCCACAGAGGTGAGAATCACTCACCCTCAGTGTCAGGTGGAGGCCACATGCTCAGGGCCCACAGCGCCACCTGGGACTGGCTCGGCTTCCAGGCAGCTGCAGCTCTCAGCTCTGAGAACCTCCTCTTGCCCTTTGGTATCCATCTAAATTCAGGGAGTCATGGCCTCCACTGGAGCTCCATAAGTGGCCTTCACCTCATTGGGTCTGGGAGGGGGTCACCTTTCCACACTCTGCAGAATTTGTTTATAGGCTTCTGGCCAACAAATATCCCCCTTACCAACCTAAAAGCCTACCACTGGTGATTAAGGATTTAAATGAGGCAGAATCTCAGTTAATGCCCCTTCATCCCAACATTAAATGGCATTAAATACATCAGTCACTCATACTACAGTATAAATGAGCAGACAATTCCTCTCTCCACTCCTGCACCAGATGCTGCATAATGAGACCTCATCAGTCTGTTCTCACAGGAAGAGTGGTATGAAAAGAAAAGCAAAGGGACCCCAGAGAAGGCCGAGGGGAAGATGTGTGGAGGATGCAGGCCAGAGGGAAGACCTTTCCTTTCTCCATCCCTTTATAGTTAAAAAAGCACAGTCACATGAAAGTCTTCAGATGGAGAAACTAAGGTAGAGAAAAAGGATGGTGACGATGACAAAGAACCCCTAGCGCAGGCGCCCCATCTGGAAATGCCTTCTTGTGACTTGTGCTGTATCTACCATTCCAAAAAGCACAATCTACTCCTCCAGAGGATTACAGGGCGGGGTGGGAAGCCCCCTCAATCCTAATTTATGATTTCCCGCCTGTGTCCTTCCTGTCCCTTGCTCCTTCCCTGCCAGCCCCAACTGGGTGAGAAGGGCAGCTCCCAGGAGTATAAACAACAGTATAAATAACTCTACAGGGCAGCTGGGGCCTGGGGCCTCTGAGCTGGGCCCTGTCAAAGAGGCACCTCTTTCTCCCAGTCACAGGACAATAGGGCCAGAGGTGCAGCTAGCTGGCCCTCTCCCCCAGCCTCGAAGGATCTGGTAGGCCCTGCCCAGGGACCCTGTCTTTTGTCTGAGCAGTCTTTGACAGCAGATACATGGTCCATCCTTTCCCTGACCATTGGGCCTGGACGCCTGGGGTTGTGGGTATGGGTCAAAGTTCTGCTAAGTTGTTGGGAACAGGCTGGTACTGCCAGGCACTCTGAGCTGGGAGGCTCATGGGACATAGAATGAGGGGACAGTCCTGAACTAAGGAGGCGCAGATGGAGTTCCCAGGGGAAAGAGGCCATAGCCCAGGTTTGTTTATTGGGAGAGAAGCATTTCCTGTTTAGACAAGGCTGGGTGGATGACTGTTTTCCTGAACCCCATGGGCAGCTCCAGGAGGTTCCTGTCCCCACATGGTGTCTCAGTGTGTGGGTCTGGGTCTGTGCATGTCTACATATGCTCTGGTCTCTTCAGCCTCCAGATGGGGCCTAAATCTGTACCAAGTTATCTTACCCCAAAGAAGCCTCCTGTGGGGACTGGCTGGAGAGGGCAACATGCAGGCTGTACCCACCATTCTAGAGGGAACCCTGTACCTGAACCCGTACCTGAAGACAGTAAGGCTGCATCCCTGGTTGCAGAGATTTGGGCAGGAGACAGTGCAGGCAAACTGCTTAGCACAGTGCCTGGTGTGCGGTCCGTGGGGGGAACAGAAGTGCTTGTTGCTGGTTGTGGTTTGGTCTTGGCAGCGAAGGGGGTTGCGCAGCTCTGACCACAAGGATAGGACCTGAGACCTCAAGCCAGCTGGCCCCTCTCCTCCCAGGCTCAGCAAACACTGAAACCTCCAATAAACCAAACCCTTGGCCCCAGAGGCATTTCCTGTCTTTCTGTGCTGGAGGAAAGGGGACCAGAAAATGAAACCATCACATCACATCGCTTCAGCATCCTAAGACCGCCTCAGGGAGACCCAGAGCTGTTCCACATCCCCAGGAAAGGATGCTCAGAGAGGGGAAGGGACTTGTCCCAGGTCACACAGCTCTTGGTGGTGCTCTGGAACTGCTTCCTAGTGGATACAGCCCAGCCTGGTTTATAAATCAATATTTCAAACCATGGAATCCCAGCCTCAGCAAGGCAGAACTTATCTGTTGTGAAATGCTAGTAACAGCTTTTATTGAGGGTCTTTTGCTAGGAAAGGAACCTCTAGGGCTACTGGGGGCTGTCATGTTTGGTGGCATCAGTTAAGGAATGTGGATTCTTTAATCACACAAGCATCTCAGATGTGCTGGTGCCTCCTCGCTGCTTCCCCCTAAAGATGGAAGCCACTGCCCCAGCTTCTTAAGTTGCTTCGTGCTCTCCACAGCACCCCTTGGGTGATGGTGTTTGATCCTGGCCACTTACTAGGGCCTCAGACAGACTTGGGACTTTCAAGGATGATGAGTCAAGTAGGGTTAGAGAGAAACTGTTCATCTGGCTATGCCAAAAACAAGGGCTAAGGTTGGGGTTATAGATGTTCCAGTCACTCTGCTGCTGTGATAAACCCCATAACCAAAACCAGCTTGGGGAGGAAAGGGTTTATTTGGCTTACACATCACAGTCCATCATTGAGGGAAGTGGAAACAGGAACTCAGGGCAAGAACCTGGAAGCAGGAGCTGAAGCACATATGACAGAGGAATGTTGCTTACTGGCTTGGTCCCCTGGCCTGTGCTCAGCCTGCATTCTTATATAACTCAGGGCCATCTGCTCAGGGGTAGCATCACCCACAGTAGGCTGAGCCCTCCGACACTAACCAGCAATTTAAATAATGCCTCATGGACATGGCCACAGGCCAATCTGATACAGGAAATGCCTCAACTGAGGTTCCCTCTTCCCTGGTGTGTCAAGTTGACAACTGAAGCTCTCTAACACAGTGGCAAGGCCACAGGATCAATTCCCTATACTGTAAAACACAAGACAGACAAAAAAGCAAAAAAACCCCAAAGATTCACCAGAGAGGCACGGAACTGACTGCTTTAGTGACAGAAGATGGCACACAAGTGCCAACAATCTGACATGAAGGAAGAAAGGAAGAGGATCTCACAGAACCAAGTGAGCACTGTAACCACAGGGGAAGCTGGGAGGCCTTGAAGAGCCATGAGAAGCAGGGACATTGTAATCCTGCCCTCAAACCTATAAGGATCAAATGAGAAACTGAGGCTCAGTGAGGGGCAGGACCATCAGGAGCAGGGTTTGAACTCAGCCCTTAGTGCCTAGCCTCTTAGAGGACAGGGTAGGCTTCCTCTACCTGAGCATGCTGGTGATATCCTTTGGCATGCTGGTGATGTCCCAGCCCAGGACCTGGTGCTGCCACCTGCAAGTCCAGGAGGAGTCTGTTCTTTCCAACAGAGGTGGGTAAGCAACCGCAGGAAAGAGCCCTGTGCACAGCTAAGCTGGGGAAGGGTTCCCCTACCCCAGATTGTACACACTTTTCTAAGAATGGGAATCTGTTGATAATGGCTGTGGTCTCACCCCCATAGCATACACTATAATCAACAATATGCACTACTCTGGGTATGGTGGCGCTCACCTTTAATCCCAGCAGAGGCAGGTGGAGCTCAGTGAGTTCAAGGCCAGCCTGGTCTCCATAGCGAGTTCAGGCCAGCCAGGGCTACATAGTGAGATCCTGTATCAAAAAAACCCCACCCACACTTCATGTACACACAGGCACCATGTATGCATACAAACATATCATGCATACGTACTGGTATACAAGCCTCACACACGTGTACATGAATCATATATGCATGCAAACATACCGTGCAGGCACACAAGCATCACATGTGAACAGACATGTATGTGTATGCATACACATATATGCATTGTGCATGTACATATGACATGCATGTGCAAACACTGCCCATGCAAACAAGATCCAACACACATGTAGGCAAGCATCATGCATACACACATCCTATCATGCCTCCACAGTCATATTACTCATACAAACACATCCCACACTTGTGTACACCTTATGGGACATGTGGGAGTCCCACCCAGGTCCTCCACTTTCACCCACTCCTTATGACCTTGTTACAGAAAGGAAACCCAGGCCCAGACCAAAGCATGCGCTACACTCGTGGAATTGTAGGTAGGGAATCCCAACACTGCCAGCCGCTGCCATGGTTCTGTAGGTGGGGGCATCTTTTTGTGCCTCAGTGTCTCCTCTGTAAAACAGAAGAGGGGACACTACACACAGGGGTTTTCCAGGGAGTGCCTGGGCCTCAGGTTTCTCCTCTGTAACATGGGTACATGTGCCGGCCTCTCACTGAGTGATGCAGAGCTCAGCTGGACAGGATGTGCAGAGGGTGAGATGCCCGACACAATGGCACCGCTGCGCAGGAAGCCTTTGTTGGGATGGATGGGCGGGTCCCGCGTGTTTCGGAAACCGGAGTCCACAAAGATGTCGAAGGGGATGAATTTGATCCAGATCGCTGAGGCGTGGTGAGTTCGGATCCTGGCAGCGTCAGAAACTGCGGCCCCGGCCTCAGTTTCCCGATCCGCGGCGCAGGTGGGCACCTGGCGGGCGTCCTGGAGGGGGCGCCCGGCGCGGCCTTCCGGGTTGGTGGGGGCGGGGG